ATTTTCTGGAGGGGGGGGGTTCGAATTGGTACTGACCCCCCCCCAGGTTTTTTGGAGGAGGGGGGGGGAGGGGTTCGAACCGGTAGCGCCTCCCCCTGGTTTTCTGGTGGGGGGGGTGGGGGGGAGGGGTTCGAACCGGTAGTGACCCCACCGCGGTTTTCTGGAGGGGGGGGTTAACCGGTAGTGACCCCCCCTCGTTTTTCTGGAGGGGGTGGGGGGAGGGGGTTCGAACCCGTAGTGACCCCCCCTGGTTTTCTGGGGAGGTGGAGGGGGGGGAGGGGTTCGAGCCCGTAGTGACCCCCCGCGGTTTTCCGGAGGGGGGGGGTGTTCAAACCGTACCCCCCCCCTGTTTTCCGGAGGCGGGGAAGGATGGGTGTCAGGAGGGGGGGTTTGCCGGGGAAGGGGGGGGGTCCAGCAGGGGGGGGATTTTCGGAGGGGGGGTGGCCGGGGGGACCCCCGGGTACTGGAGGAAGAGAGGGGGATTTTTCCACAGCAAAGCTGCGGTGGATCACGCTCTCTGTTATAATGATGACGATGCTGCTGCTGCTGCTGCTGCTGATGCTGCTGCTGCTGCTGATACAAATGATGATCTTGATTCGGACGATGATGATGACGATGATGATTATGATATAAATGATTGTGGTCATGATGAGGTGATCATGATGATATTGATGTAGGTACTGATGATGCTGATGATGCTGATGATGATGACGAGGAGGGGGTGGAGCGGGGTAATGAAGACTCATAATGATGATGATCATGATGATGATGATGATGAGATTGCTGATCCTGATGCTGATGCTGATGACGATGCTGCTGATGATGGTGATGATGAGAGTGATGCTGATGATGATGACGATGATGACGATGATGATGCCGACGTTGACGATACAGATGCTGGCGATGCGATGACGATGATGGTGATGATGATTGTGATGATGGCGACTCGGAAGAGGAGGAGGACGTCTGATGATGCTGCTCATTATGATGAGCCTGATGACGATGATGACAATTCTGATGATGATGATGATGATGATGATGATGATGGTGATGAGGCTGATGCTGCGGTTCAGGATTACGCTTTCTGTTATAATGATGACGATGCTGCTGCTGATGATGATGATGCTGCTGATGCTGATGATGATCTTGATTCGGACGATGCTGCTGATGATGATGATGGTGCTGATGATGATGATGCTGTTGTTGTCGATCATGGTGATGATGATGATGCCGTTGACGATGATGATGATGATGATGATGATGATGATGATGATGATGATGATGATGATGATGATGATGATGATGATGGTGATGGTGATGGTGATGGTGATGGTGATGATGATGATGATGGTGATGATGATGACGCCGAGGAGGAGGAGGAGGAGGCGGATGGCTGATGTTGTTGGGGACGATGCTGTTGATGATATGCATGCTGATGTTGATGATGATGCTGCTGCTAATCACGATGCTGATGCCGATGCTGTTGCTGATGCTGATGTTGGTGCTGACGCTGCTGCTGATGCTGATGATGGAGATGCTGATGATGATGATGGTGCCAGTGATGATGACGATGGCGACGACGACGACGACGATGATGATGATGATGATGATGATGATGATGATGCTGATGATGATGGTGATGATGATGATGGCGCTGCTGCTGCTGTTGCTGACAATGCTGAGTGAATGCTGATGCGTATGCTGATTATGATGACGATGATGGTGCTAAAGCTAATCATGATCATGATGATGATCATGATGATGCTGAGGATGATGATGCTGAGGAGGAGGAGTAGGAGGAGGGGGAGGAGGAGGAGGAGGAGGATTCGAGGCTGATAGCGAGCATGAGGAGGGTGGATGTGACGAAGATGAATGACACGGACGACGGCGACGACGATTACGACGACGACGATTACGACGACGACGACGATTACGACGACGATGATGATGCTGATGATGATGATAATGATGATGATGATGAGGAGGGTGATGGTGATGATGACGGTGCTGATGATGATGAGGCTGATGCTGCTTCTGTTGATGATGATGATGATGATGATGATGATGATGATGATGATGATGATGAGGATGAGGATGAGGATGATGATGTCGACGATGTTGACCATCATGACGATGATGAGGACGCGGAGGAGGAGGAGGAAGGCTGATGATCATGACGATGCCGACGACGACGACGGTAATGATGCTGATGCTGATGCTGATTACGATAATGCTGATGCTGATGCTGATGCTGATGCTGATGCTGACGCTGTTGCTGCTGCCGGTGTTGCTGCTGCTGATGCTGATGCTGATGCTGGTGATGATGATGACGATGATGATGATGGTGGTGGTGGTGGTGGCGATGGTTGTGATGATGAGGCTGATGATGACGACGATGATGATGATGCTGCTGATGATGATGATGACGATGGTGATTTTGATATTGACGATGCTGATACTGATGATGCTGATGATGATGATGGTGATGGTGCTGATGACGATGATGCCGATGGCGATGATGATGAGGAGGAGGATGGTGATGAAGAGGGGGTGGAGGATCAATGCTGACGACGACGATGAATATTTTGATGATGAGGATCAGGATGATGAGGATGAGGGTGATGAGGAGAAGGAGCATGATGATGCTGACGAGGAGGAGGAGGAATGCTAATTATAATCCCGATGATGATAATGATGCTTGTGGTGATGATGATGCTGCTGCTGCTGATGATGATGATCCTGATGCTGATGCTGATGCTGATGCTACTGCTGATGATGACGATGGAGCTGATGCTGATGCTGATGCTCATTATGCTGCTGATGCTATAGCTGATTTGACGATGACGATGGCGACGATGATGGTATTGATATTGCTGATGATGAGGCTGATGATGCTGATGATGATGGTGATGAAGATGTTGATGATGATGGTGTTGGTGATGATGATGCTGCTGATGATGATGATTATGATGCTGCTGGCGATGATGATGTCGATGGTGATACTGTGGGTATTGGTGAGGATGGCGATGATGATGCTGAAACTGCTGCTCTTGCTGATGCTCATTATGCTGCTGATGCTGATGCTCATGTGACGATGACGATAGCGACGACGATGCCGCTATTGATATGGATGATGATAAGGATGATGCTGATGCTGATGATGATGGTGGTGGTGATGAGGATGCTCATGATTATGATGATGCTGATGCTGATTATGATGATGATGATGTTGGTGATGGGTATGATGATGATGGGTATGATGATGATGAGGATGAGAGTGAGGATGGTGCGGATGAGGATGATGGTGATGATGCTGATGCTGACGATGATACTGATGATGATGATGATGATGATGATGGTGATGATGATGATGATGATGATGTCGATGATGCTGCTGCTGATGATGATGCTGATGATGCTGATGATGCTGATGATGCTGATGCTGATCATGATGATACTGATGATGATGCTGCTGCTGCTGATGATGATGATGATGATGATGACGACGATGATGATGATGCTGCTGCTGATGATAATGCTGATGCTGATGCTGATGCTGATGCTGATGCTGATGATGATGATGATGATGATGATGATGATGATGATGATGATGATGATGATGATGATGATGATGATGATGATGATGATGATGATGATGATGATGATGATGATGCTGATGATGATTATGATGATGATGATGATGATGATGATGATGATGATGATGATGATGATGATGATGATGATGATGATGATGATGATGATGATGATGATGATGATGATGATGATGATGATGATGATGCTGTTGATGATGGTGGTGGTGGTGGTGGTGATGGTGTTGGTGATGGTGATGGTGATCACGAGGAGGAGGAGGAGGCGGAGGAGGAGGAGAAGGAGGTGGAGGAGGAGGTGGAGGAGGAGGAGGATGAGGAGGAGGAGGAGGAGGAGGAGGAGGAGGAGGGGGAGGGGGAGGGGAATGGGGAGGGGGAGGAGGAGGAGGAGAGGAGGAGGAGGAGGAGGAGGAGGAGGAGGAGGAGGAGAGGAGGAGGAGGAGGAGTTGGAGGAGGAGGAGGAGGAGGAGGAGGAGGAGGAGGAGGAGGAGGAGGAGGAGGAGGAGGAGGAGGAGGAGGAGGAGGAGGAGGAGGAGGAGGAGGAGGAGGAGGATTGGGGAGAAAGGGAGAGGGTGAGGAGGAGGAAGAGGAGGAGGAGGAGGAGGAGGAAGAGGAAGAGTATCGTGCATCACGATTACTGCAAGCACTGGCATCGTCGATGCCAGTGCCGAGTCGACCTGCCTACGTTGAGCCGCCACCCCCTGGGGCGTGCGCCCGCCAGCTGGGAGGGAGGGAACTGCACATGGCCACCGCGTTCCTCTCCCGCTTCCCTCCCAGGAAGGGATGAAAGCAGTGAGATGGTACCCGTGCCGCTGCCCTGGGAGGCCCTCGTGTTCGCTTTCTTTGGCCTCCTCCTGGGAGTCCCTCGTCGCCACGGCCGGCTTCGCCTCGAACCCCTGGGAGAGCAGCGGTGACGGGGCTTTCCCGTGTGACGGGAGGTGGGCCCGCAGAGGGCCGCCGTGTGCGACGAGAGGCTGCGGGAGGCGCAGTGGGCGCTGGAGGACGCCATTCGAGGGAAGGAACGCGCCGGCCACGGCCAAGACGTCGCGGTGACCGTGGCTCGTGCGACGAAATCTACACGTCCACGGCTCCCTGGCCAGGCCCACCCTGAACCCCGGAGCTGTGTATGCGCCCTCCTGGTCGAGCCAAGAGGGCGTGGCGTATACTCCGCTGCTGGGGTCAGCATTGGCCTGGCCAGGGAGCAGTGGATATGTATAGATTTTGTCGCCCTGTTGGCGACGCCGATCTCGGTTCTTGCCCATGCCGGCCGTCGCCGATGCCCGAGGAAGGCCCACGAATCGACGGCGACCAAGATGGACGGTGACCAAGTGTGGCACCGCCGTTTCTGCGTTCAGTTTTGGTCATGATGATCGTTTTTCGTTCCCTCCAGCCATGGGCTTCCTGCGGAGGCTCCAGGCCCTGGCCGAGCGCGGGGCGTCGGCCGAGGAGCTGGAGGAGGAGCTCGGCGAGGCGTGGTTCCTCTGCACGGGCATGGCCTTTGCGCTCGAGGTCCTGGCCGCGAACAGCCGCGTCTGCGGGGACTCTGGCTGCAGGGCCGCCCTGGCCTTTGAGCAGCTGCAGCTGGACGTCGTGGGCTGCCACATCTGCGGACCTGCGGCGCTCTCGACGGTGCGGGCTGCCGAGCCGAAGAGCTCGGTCCGGCAGTCCGGCTCCCGAGAGTCGCCATGAGGACCCGGGACGCCAGCGTTGCCGAGCTGAAGGACTTCGGCGCGATCTCACATGTTGTTTGTTTGCTTGTTTTCTCTCTCTCTCTCTCTCTCTCTCTTTTTTTTGTTGTATTTTTTTTTTTCTCTCTCTCTCTCTCTTTCTCTCTCTCTCTCTCTCTTTCTATATATAGATATACACATGTTATACATTTACACATCTATATATGTGTGTATGCATCTGTGTGTATGTATCTATATACGCATGTTAGCCAGCGTGGGCCCAACGAAAATTCTTTCTAGACATCCATTGTGGTGCAATATGTGTGGTGAAATCTCTGTGGTGCGATCTATGCGGTGCAAGCTATGTTGTGCAACCTGGGTGGTGCCATGTAGGTGCTGCGACCTATCTGGTGCGATCTATCTTGTGCAATCCATGGGGTGTAACGGATTATAACCCACGAGTTGACACATTTCATGCTCTTGCAATCATCCCACCCAACCACCTGCAACTTGGTTTGCCAAACCCATGCGGTGGCGACAGCGATGCATGCTTGACGTTGGCTGGTGCATCTCTGCAGCCGCGCCAACCCAAGCACGCGCGCGCAGGCGCTACGGTCAGCTGGTTTGGCGCGACCGACGCGGACGCGGTGGCGCTGACCGGTCGGCGCATCCCAGCGGGCACTTCAGTGCGAGTCGTCGACTTCGGCGGGCGCGGCTTCATGGCAACGTCGACAACTGTATATGAGAGTAACGATGCTGGTGACGATGCTGATTGCGGCGACGGGGCAGCCACTGACGGCGCCGATGCTGATCACGCCGACAACGATGACGGCGTCTTCGCATCGGTGACGAAGGTTTTGGAAAGAATTCGAAATGCGCGCGCGGCAGACGCGCGAGAGTGGTTCGCATGGTATTTGACACGGATCGTGCCACCCCAGCACGCGCGCAGGGGCGCTCGAACGATTTCGACATGCGCGCGCGAAACCCGTTTGGTAGTAAACAGTATCAAGAATGCAAGGGTACGCGCGCGAGCTTTCTTTGGATATCCGTGTTGCGAAAGACAGTGTTTCTGAGATTTTTTGGCATTCGATTGTGAAATCCTTACGACATCGACGGTTTTTGAAGGATTTCGGCATGCGCGCGCGACCACGCGCGCGCGCACTTCGTCACATTATTTGGGCGAGGGATTGTTGCAAACTTATGGTTTTTGATAAGCGAGTGTGCGCACGTAGTTGTTTGCAGAGGATGGCGGGGGGGATCGATACCTGCTGGGCTGGGATGTGTACATTTATAATCAAACACAACTTGATGCTCATCATAGTCGGAGATACGGACGCACTCGGATGTCTGCGCATCTCTCTCAGAGCATTCGCGATCCGACGCTTTTCTGCTCAAAAGTTGTTTGGGGCCCAGGCTCCCGTGGATCCACTGCTCACCGAACTCAGCTTGGGTTTCCCGACCCCTCTCGCCGTTCGCTTCTCCGCAATCCGCTGTCCAGACTGCTCCTGCAGTTGCGCTCCCGTGTTCTCCTGCGCCGAGGGCGCCGTGCCGCGTGAGCTGGGGGCGAGTGGGTCGTGGCCCGCGCCGAGGGCCTGCCTCGTCCTGCTCGGGCTCGGCGCTGCCTTGGGTGGCGCCGCGGTGCTGTCCGCGCAGCGGTGGCTGAAGGACCTGTCGGAGGAGGCGCGGGCGCAGCTGGCGGAGGTCGCAGCTCGACGGTCCACTGCGTTCCGTGGCTGATGCCATGGCGCGCCACCAGCTCGAGACGGCCAGGTTTGCCGAGGGCGACTTCACCGCCGTCCGCTATCGAGTGCGCGGGCGACGGCTTTGGCACCGCAGGGTGGTTACAGCGCCGGTGCCCGGGGGCGTCTCTGTCGTCGGGGCCCTCACCCCCGACCGCGACGAGCACGATGAGGACCTCGACGATGTCTCGAACATCGCTGAGTGGATGATGCTGCCGCAGGGCGCGATCGGGGCCCCGGCCGCGGCCGTGGCGCTGGACGAGGTCTACGACTTCCTTGTGTGTGCCGCCAATTGCTCGTTTACCGAGGCCCCTCGGAGCCAGCCGCCGTCGGCGTCAGCCTGGGGCCGCCTCGAGTCGGGCGACGTCTGATTCAACGTCGCCTCGGCCGACCTGGACGTCGCCACTTGCCGTGTGATGGTGCCGCCGGCGATGGAGGAGTTCTTCGCCCTTCGCCCGATCGAGGCGAAGTGCCTGGTGCCCCTCGGCTGCGTGGAGGCGGGCACGCCCGGCGACGAGCTGCTGCTGCCGCAGGTGGTGGTGCTCCCCATGGGCTTCAGCTGGGCCTCGCACGTGCGCCGGACTGTTCTGACGACCTCTCCTCTCCGATCGGGGCCCCCCGCGGTGAACCTGATCGCCGATGGCCACAGCGGCTGTCAGAATTCCACTGGCCCCGACTCGCTGGTGGGCGCCGGTTACGTGGACAACTACTTCGTCCTCGGCGGCTCCCCGTCCAGGGGCTTCCTCGTGCGGGTGCTCGCCGGCCACGTGACCTGGGCCCTCTTGCTTCGGCGCGAGATGTCGCGCGTGCTTGGTGCTACCTGCGCCTTCATCCAGGCCGCCGGCCCGCGGCCGTTCCTCTCTGGCCTGCTGCGCGGAGGGGGCTTCAGATGATGCGCTACCTGTTGCCCCTTTGCGCGGCCGACCAGTGCGCCCCGCGGCGCGAGCGCGTTGTTCGCGCAGGCGCCCCCCCTGGGGATTGGGGGTTGTCGCTCGCCGCGCCCCAAAGGGCCTCGCGGGCGCCGCTGGCCGAGATGCCGAAAAATGGAGGTATGAATTCGAAGGGGGCGCCCGACCCATAGCTCGCGCAGTCGGAGTGATCGAACAGACTGACGTCACCGCCGCTGGCCGGGGCGCCCCCCTGGGCTTCGACCGCTCGATCTTCGGGGATGTCGGTGCCGAGGAGGATGGGTAAGGGGTTCGGCTCGAAGGGCCCCTCGCCGCTCGACCTTCGGCCGCCCGTCGACTTCGAGGGAAATCCGGCGCGCTTCGCTCGGGGGGGGGCCCGGGGCTCGATCGCAGCTGTGCGCGTCGACGGTCAGGCCGACATTCTGGCCCTGGAAGGGGGGGCTCTCGTTCTCGGATATCGTCATCTGTTGAGGTCTACGTCGGCTTTCGGTTTTCGTTTCCTCCTCTTCACGGACGACGTGCTCTTGTGTTAGCCGTTGGGAAAGGTCGGGCTCGCAGCGGGCACCTCCGGAGCTCCCTTCGCGGGATCTGCGCGCTCTCCGTCGCCGCTGGTTCGGCCCTATCAGTCAGGTGGATCCCCTCAGGGGCCAGCCCGGCCGACGGCCACAGCCGCGGGCGGGCAGGGTGGTTCTCTGGCTCCCGCCCAGCGCCGGCGCCGTTTGGCGATGCGCTGCTGGGCCACGCAGCGGCTCCGGCTGGTTGGGCTCGCCCCCCCCCCCCCCCCCCCCCCCCCGACCGCCGCGGCCTCGAGGGGGCGAGGGGCGCCCGCCGCTACGGCGTTGAAGGGCGTGGGAGCTCGCCGTGCCCAGGAGCTCGCAGCCGCGGCGCCGCCGGTCCTGGGGCTCTGGGTGCTGGAGCGGCTCGCGGCGCGGCCATCGACCGAGAAGTTCTACCGTGGGGCGCCGCAGGTTTTCGCGAGCTTCTGCGCGCGTCGCCGCCTGGGCTGGGCGGGCCATGCCAGCCTCGACTCGACTCTCGTGCAGTGCGTGGGGGCGAGTTCTTCAGCGGCGGCGGGGGCCTCGGGAACGTGCTCCTGCCGGCGGTCGCCCACTTCCTCGGCTCGCTGTGCGTGCGGGCGGCGACGCCGCTGCCGCGGGCCCATCGCGCGGCGGCGGCCTGGGCCCGGAGGGGGCTTCGAGCCGCGCGCGCCTTCTGTTGCCGAGGCGGGTCGCGTTTGCCATCGCGGGCATCCTGCTCCGCGACGGGCGCCGCCGGCTCGCCGTCTGCATCCTCGCCATGTTCGCCTGCTACCTCCTCGGGCCAGGCGAGGCAGCGAGGCTGCGCGGGCGCCGCCCGGTGCCCCCCGCCGCCGCCGCGGGGGCGCCTTGCCAGTTCTACGGCCTGATCCTGCGCGAGAGCGGCCAGGGGCCCGGGAAGACGGGGGTGGGCGACGAGAGAATCCTCTTCGATCGGGGGCCCTCGCTCGCCCCCCTGCTGGCGGCCGTCGAGACCGCCGCGCTCCCCGACCAGCCGCTGGGGGAGGCTCGATCTCGTTGCTGCCGCGGCTCTTTCTCCAGGCCTGCCGCGAGCTGTCTCTGGAGCGCCTCCGCCCGCGTCATTGCAGCCCGCGGCGCGGCGGGGCCTCGGGCGACATGCGGTCGCAGAGGGGGGCGCTCCCAGAGATCCAGCGTCGCGGTCGATGGCGGTCGGCTAGGAGTGTCAATCGGTGCGCCAAGGACACAAAGCTGCCGGGCGAGCTCGCCTGGGCCCCGCCAGCCGCCATGGAGCTCGGGCCGTTCGTCGAGGCCCGCCTGGTCGAGCTCGTCGAGGGCCCGCTCCCCGCGCTGCTGACGACTGGCCGCGCGCCGGCCGTGGTCGCCGCCCTGCTCGGGGCGCCGGCCGACGCCCCCCTGGCGGGCGCGCAAGCGCCCCGCGGCGGCGACGTGGCGGCCGCAGGCAGCCCTGGCGCCATCCGACAGCGCCTTAGATGCAGCGCCAGCGGGCGGCTGTTCTTGGGCGTCGACTTCGCCGACGGCCCGTGCTCGAGCTGTTCTGCGGCGCGGGCGCGGTCGCCCGCGCGATGCACTCGCGGGGCTTCGCTGGCTTCGGGCCCGATTGGAGCCGCGGCCCGCCGGGAGACCACGCCTCGGCGACATCCCAGTCCATCGTCCTCGGCTGGGTCGTCTCTCGGGCGGTGGGCGCTATCTGGCCCGGCGCGCCGTGCACTAGCTGGGCGCGTGCGCTCAGACGACCGCTTCGCTCCGCTTCGCTCCGCTCTCCACCCCGTGGGCCTTCCAAGCGTGAGCTCCCGTGAACGAGCCAGAGCTGATGCTGGTAATGCCACCTACAGATTCACTGTCAGATTGATTCGTGCGTGCGTGGCGGCCCGTGTCCCAGTATTTTTTCGAGAATCCTCGGTCCTCGTTGCCATGGTCTGGCCCCGCGGTGGCCCGTCTCTGTAAGTCGCCCCTCTGCCGCAAGTCTGTTCTGCATCAGTGCCGGTGCGGCGCGCCCTGCAGAAATGCCGCCGCCGTCTGTTCCCAGGGTGCTGCCGCCGCGCTGCCGCTCGAGAAAACTTGTCCAGGGCGCCGATGCTTCTCTGGCAAATCTGGCAACTGGCACCTCATTCTTGATGGGAACGACGAGAGAGGACAGACGCGGACTGCCGTCGCCGTTCGGTACCCCCTCGCCTCGTTGCCGCCGCCGCTGCGTGCGCTGTCCAGTCTCCGTCCCTCCGGCCCGCTCGGGCCTTCCAGACTCTCGCTCTGGGGGTGCTACAATGCGGCCTTCGGCCAGAGGTGCCTTTGGGGTCCGGTAGGGGGCGTCTCAGGACCGCCCCTGCTGCCGCTGTGGCCCGCGTCCGTTACCTCGCCCGCCTGGCCCTTCTTTGCTTCGAAAAAATTGGCCAGGGCGGCGTCGCGAGCCGGTCATTTTCCACAATTCGATGCTTGGCATAGTCGGGGATGCGGACGCACTCGGATGTCTGCGCATCTCTCTCAGAGCATTTGCCATCCGACGCTTTTGTGCTCAAAGTTTTCCCGTTGCCAACCCAGTGCCTACTCTGCGCTGATGGTCTGATGGTAGGGGGCGTCTCAGGGCCGCCCCTGCCGCCGCTGTGGCCCGCGTCCGTTATCTCGCCCGCCTGGCCCTTCTTGCCCCGAAACGCTTGGCCAGGGCGACGTCGCGAGCTGGTTGCGCGGACGCACTCGGATGTCTGCGTATCTCTCCCCGAGCATTTGCCATCCGACGCTTTTGTGCTCAAAGTTCTCCCGCTGCCAACCCAGTGCCAAACTCTGCGCTAATGGTCTGAGGGTAGGGGGCGTTTCAGGGCCGCCCCTGCTGCCGCTGTGGCCCGCGTCCGTTATCTCGCCCGCCTGGCCCTGCTGCCGCTGTGGCCCGCGTCCGTTATCTCGCCCGCGTGGCCGTGTTGTCCCAGAACACTTGGCCGGGGCGACGTCGCGAGCTATGTGTGTATATATATATGTGTGTGTACGTATGTATGTATGTACATATATATATATATACACATAGTGCTCATATTTAGGATGGGCGATGGGGCAGAATCACATGCGCATTGCATTGCGAAGCGGGGGGTCGATAAACCGGGGGGGACTTTCGTTTGGGAAAAAAACCGATGTTGCCCAGAATATGTTGTGCAGTCTATGCTGTGCCGTCTCTATGAAGTGCAACATGTGGTGCGTGATCTACGCGGTACAATGTATGTTGTGCATATATGTGCTGCTGCATTGGTAGTGCGATCTATGTGGTGCGATCCATGTGCTGCAATCTACGTGGTGCAATTAATCTTGACCGTCTTGAAGCTGTCCTCTCCACTGCTCGTGCAAACATCCCACCCTCCCACCCGCAATTTGGTCGCAAGACATCTTCAGACAAGACCGTGACGGTAGGTACTGCATAGCAGTTGGCCACGACACCGATGCCGACGACGACAGCGACATCGACGACGACGGCGCCGCCGACAGCGACTGCGACGACACCGACGACGTCTCCAATGTTTTCGACGACGACAACGACGACGACGACACCGACGACGACGACAACGACGCCGACGACGACGACGAAGACGACGACGACGTCGCCAACGGAGACGACGACGAGGGAGGAGAAAAAACGACGACGGCGACAACGACGACAACGACGATGGAGGAGGGAAGACGGCGACGACGCCAACGACGAAGAAGGAGGAAGGACGGCGACGCCGACGACGACAACGACGAGGGAGGAGGGAAAACGACGACGATGACAACGACGACGAC